AATCAAATCAATCCCATTTCTAGCATCATGATCAATAGAGCTAAATTGGAATGGGCCAGTCGATATCCCCTAAATAAAAGGATTTGGGCAAAAAAAGACCAATATAAAACCAATTTAATAGAAAATCTAATATATTTGTGTATAAGACACTGTTCAGTGACTGTTTCTCTGATTGTCTCTGAAACTTAACTGAGAACGACTGGTTAGATAAGATTGCACTTTCTGTATCTATTAGCATCCCACTACAGTCAGTTACAGGGAGATACAAAAGACAGTAATAAGTGGGACGCTGTTGACGGTCACAATTCTCAGCACCTACCAAAAACATTAATTGGCGTATTGGCAGCAATCAACATCCACTCAAACCTCAACAGTAACTGTTGGATTTGAGAGGTACTGAGTGATTTCCCAGCATTTAACACCAGGCGTTGAGCTTTTGTGTGCTGCCTTTCTGGGCTGTTTGTTTATTTGTTAGTTACAGTATTCTGACCCATTTTTATATTTTGTTATGTTTTTAATCCACTGGAGAGAGCAAAACACCGGGATGTAGTGGCTGCCACTACCTGGGGAAATGTCACTGTGCAGTGTGAACATTAACAAATAAAACATGAATTCACAATCTCCAATAAAAGGTCATTTTTTTCACTTAGTCAGTTTAACATATTTTTTAAAATAACATTTTCTTTGTGATGGTGTTGTGTAACTCAAAATAATCAAAAATGTTCTCAATATTAAATCTGCCATGCACAACTCAACACTTCTAAAAACCAAAGTACGGTGGTGTACATACAGCAACACTCCTACTGCATTAGTGTTACAAGCCTCTCCAGTTTAGCTATTAACAGTTAAGTCACAATAGTGCATGTTTTATAATGTCATTGTGTTATTAATTAGTACTTAACCATAACCACTACTTGATTTCCCGTCTGACCATGCTTGATAAATCTTTAATGCTCTTCTTGACTCACAAATTTCACCTAAAAGGCACAAGGTTCTTGTCTGATTGCATAATGCGCAGCTGCCTAAATCAAACACTAATTACACACAGACTGTGAGCATAAACTGAATGGTGCTATGTAAATTAGCCTCACTATTCCATGTGCATAAAGTTGTCTCTCTTTGTTGTGACCTGTCAGTTGAAGGTGTCCACAGATCCAAATGACAATATCATATGCAGCCAGCATCACAAGGGCCCCCCCAAATACATTTTCAATGGGACTGACAATGATACAGCTCCAAGAGGCATGTTTGTAATAGAAAATACATGGACCCTTGCTAATTCCAACACCTGTCACAGCCCAGTATTCATCTGATGTTATTAGAATTCAGGGAAGTGAGTTTCATCACCGTAGCTATTGAAGCGGAAGAGGCACACTGAAGTGATGCAAATGAAAACAGCATCCTATTCTGTTAACATTAGGCTTAATTGGCGCTGTCAGTCATAAGTGTGTTTTCATGGCAGCAGTATGAGCATGTATGCTGAGTAAATCAGGATGTGTCACATGAGGAGATGGGTGCAGTACAAGTACGTTTGTTTGTGTGTGTGATTTACACAGTGAGCACTGGCAATCTTTTCCTTAACAATGAATTTTTCTTTTTAAACTTTGTAGGCTAGGCAGGATTTTGAACTGTGGGTTGGAGAAGCAACAGTGTAATGGTTTGTCGGCCTCTGCACATAAAATGTTACACACTTAGCAGAGTAAATTCTTTGGCTGTCAAACAAGGAAACAAATGGGACATGTGTTGCTTGATTTGGGTCTAGAACTGCTTTAGTTTATAAACCCTGCTTGCAGTCGAATGATGTTCAATTCAAAATCCTCTTTCCAGCTGTACAGTTATGCAATAATAAAATTATTAGATGACGCCACTAAGGTAGAAAAGGAGGATTTGTGTTACCAGATGTTTCTGGAAGAGGTGGAAGTAGGACAGTCAGACACCTGCAGCTATGCTTGTATCACCTGCTCACCTGTTAGTATCCTTGATTTGAACCATGTCCGCTTCAGTGACCCATTAAAATTAAGTGACTGTTGTTCTTCCACAAGTGCAGATAAAAAAAAAAAGTCATAAAAAGAAGCTGTAAAATGCTTTGCTGAAATTTGGCATCATGGGATCAAACAGATAAAGTCTGGCCACCCCTGCTTAGCTTCAAGCTTGAAGATGGTTTATATAAAAACTTTTATGGAAGCACATTTTTTTGTCACTGCAGGAAAATGTTTTATCATACATTAAGTCCTACATTTTAATACTTAGAAGTGGATCAGTGTTATGAGTCATAATCTTTCTGAGACACGGGGCTCTGCATGACACACATTCCTAATTATGTAATCATATCCCTAAACAGGCACACATGCAGACCTGCTGCTTCCTGCATCCTTCATGTCAGCCCTCTGGGTTTCACTATGTAGAGCATCAAATCAGATCACGTCTCATGTGGAAGGGAAAAACCACAGACAAGAGAGACCAAGACAATAATTTGCAAGGGAATGCCCCAATACATCCGTAGTAAAGGGCTGAATAGAGACTAGAAGATGTGGAACAAATGAAATAAATATGCTGTATATAACGAGTGCAGATAATACAGGGAGGTGTTGGGTAAAGATATCAAAACAATACCTGCTAGCTAAGTGTGATTATTACAAACCAAAATGACTGAATTTATACCAGTTAATTGAAATATATAATACAGATTTACTGACTGATTTATATGTCAGTGATTTACTGTGGTGATCTGCTCCCTTCACGATTAATTATTGAAATACAGAACACTGAAGACCAGTGCAGGCTCCCAAAAGTGTACAATACATGTGGCAATATGGTTGATTATATGGATTTTAAGTTGTTTTTGCTTTGTATGTTGCTGAATGCATTTCCATGTCTCTCATGGACTAGTGAAAGGACTTGCAAAAGCAGCTTACTCATGTCTTACAGCATCACAGGGCTTGTCCATATATTTTTTTTAAAATGAAAAACACAATTTTGACCGTGTTACATGTACTACTATGTCCCATAGAAGCGTATTCTGTGGAAATAGACACCTGAAGGACTATACGTTTTGGCAGCAATAATCACAGTATTCTTGGTATCACTGGCAAAACTCCTGTTGGCTCAGTCACATTTATACTGGAAAGAAATAGTCGCTCATGTCATTGAGCTGCTTATAAGATATTTATACTGTAAGCCCTGACCAATGTGATATTACAGTAAGACACTATGTATCCTGTCAGATTGTCTGGATCAGTTTTTAATCAACAGTAGTTTACAGAAGCTTTCAGTGACCACCTGGACTTTTAAGGGTGGCTAGAGCAGGCAAAAATTTCATCTGTAGTGATTGTGATTAGATTAGATGCATTTTGATGCAGCTTTGCCTTTATATCAATAATGTAAAAATTTGTCACACGAGTGTTAGAGACCACATGCTGCATCTTCTTCTGTTTCTGCCTAATAAAAGGAGTCAGGTTATCCAGCACATGCCTAAAATAAATCTACATAATAATATTCCATTTCATACATGGCTTAGATATTATTTAATGCAGTAATAAGCCAAATTACAAAAAAGGAAGATGGAGCTGATTCTTTTCTGGGACCTCTGGGGATCCTGAACCAGAATAGACTGGAATGAATCTAATTCTCTATCAGAATTAGAAAATAATCTGAATTTGGAGCACAAGGAAGACATCTGGCCTGTCCCTCAGAGAAAGAGAGAGAAAGACTTTTGATGGAGTGATGATGAAAATCTAGAGGTTGTAAACTCAAGAGAATGTGGGATGAAAACACAATGTGAGAGAATACTACATCTGTGTGCATATAATCTTAGTATGAAGATGTGTGTGTTTGGAGTGTGTCTCCCATGCAAGTTTGTCTAAAGGTATATGTCAATTTTAGTTCATATTAATGTGTAACGTGTAATTGTAAATATCTTTTCCCTAGCTGCTGAGCCAGCAAGAAGACAATGTTTGTCGTGATGCAACAGGCAGTTAATCCTCTCCTTATGAAAATGCTTGACTGCTATTCAAATGACATGCAGATGGGATAGAGAGCTTAGGTTTTGGCAGGATAGTGTCATAACAAGGAATGTCTGCAGAGATAATGCGCTGTCAGCATTTGGGTGATTAATTCTGCATTTTGTGTTATTAAAAAAAGCAAACCTCCCATCTGAGCACTGAGGGAAGATTTGGCGGGTGCACACAGTTGTAAACCAAAGCTTGATCAGCCTTTATGAAGTGTTGGAACAATAGGGGGGTGACTAAGATCAGATCCTGTAGGCTAAAAGAGGACCAAATGGGTTTTATATTGACATGATGAGAAAGAACATCATCAGAAAACGGTGCTCAAAGTGGGCTTGTATGCACTGGTATGCTCTATTACATTTTACCCTTTGGCGTACCAGGGACCTTTGGTTGCATACTGGTTTACCAGCACTTCTCACAAGCTTCCAGTCTTGTGTTGTAAAGTGATCCACTGTTGAGATGTGTTCTCCCTATTAAAAGCATTGTTTCACATAACACCCCCCTCAGTGGTTGTGCCTAGGGTTCATCCATCTACCATGGATCTATCAAGGTTTTGGGGTGGAGCCAATCCCAGCTGACACTGGGTGAGAGGCAGGGTACACCCTGGACACATTGCCAGTCTTTCACAGGGCTGACACTTAGAGACAGGCAACCACACACACCCACACAAAGTGAAATTCAGACTCTTACATTCAAAAAGATGATTATTTAATGGCATTCTTCAGTAGATCTGTACAAGAAGTGCAGGCAATACATAAAGTGAAGGTAATATAGTATAACACTTCAATAAAATTAATTTGAAAAGGAAGTAATAGGAAGTCTTTGCCATCACGTATCCTTCATGTATTATATCAACAGTATCACAGTAGTGCTCTTCTTATGGAATTTGAAAAGGAAGTAATAAGAATTCTTTGCTGTATCCTTCATGTATTATATCGACAGTATCACAGTAGTGCTCTTCTTATGTTTTCTTTGTTGTATTCTGCTCCACAGATTCTCAATATTCCAATGATACATCCATTTCAGTGAGTCAGCCGACTTCTGAGAGTATGAAGACCAGCTGTGTCACCCAGCACTGCAGCCCAACAAAACATGGCCTAACATGGGTCCTCTACTAATCAACATGATGACCGTAAAGCTGTGACTGACAGTGAGAAGCCTTCACCCCTTTTTCAGCACCCAAACCAGACCCGTCTCCTCTCTGGAAGTTCTTCAACCTTTCTAACTTCCCTTTTTCCTGCAAACACAACCTCCTTTCTTTCCTGTCAATACAATTCTTAGTAATTATAGCACTCTCTTTTCTTTCCACTGGCACCATGCAAGGTACTTTTACCACCTCCGGTCTCCTTCTCCTTATTATTCCCTCCCTCATATTCTTCTCCCACTTTCCCAACACGGTCAAAGCAGACTGCTGGCTCATTGAGGGGGATAAAGGGTATGTCTGGCTGGCTATCTGCAGTCAAAAACAGCCGCCATATGAAACTATCCCACAGCACATTAACAACACAGTCCATGACTTGAGATTGAATGAGAACAAGCTGAAAGCTGTGCTCTTCAGCTCCATGTATCGCTTCACCAACCTGACAGACCTCAACCTCACCAAGAATGAAATCAGCTATATTGAGGATGGAGCCTTTGCAGGACAAGCCAACCTACAGGTGATGGCGAAATGGAAACGTCACACAAGAATATAGTTCACAATTCATTGGGCCTTAGTTTGAGACTAACACTTCACCTTGGCTACGGTATAAACTGCAATCTTGATATATATTGAAAAGCCACTTTCAGAAATGTTCCTTCATCAACAAGAGTAACAAAAATAGTCAGGGAGTGTATAAAAACAAAGTTATAATAAAATAATGAAAATCGTATCAGTGCAAAGGTTTCCATCCCCCATTATGAAATGTTTTCTAATACTTTGCATGTCCTCCCTAACCTCCTCCAATCTCTTTGGATACCCTCTGAGCAGCATTTGTGTTTTGTCAGGTGTAATTTTAGCTCACTCTTTATGGCATACATGTTCCAAGTTTACCATATTGCTTGGTTGTCTGCTATTACAGCCGTCTTCAAACTGAGCCATAGGTTTTCAATGATATTTAAGTCTTTAGACTGGGAAGGCCATGGTAAAATATTCACCTTATTCATTTACCTAATTCCTGAGTTGAAGTTACCCTGTGCATGGGATTCTTGTTGAAAAATCCACTGCCTCTTCCTCTTTAGCTTTTTGACTGATGGTAAGAGGCTTTGCTTTAAAATCTTCTGATATTAGGTTGCATTCATTTTTTCTTCCACTTTATGCCGCACTCCGGTGCCTGATGCAGACATACACCCCCAAAACAAGACTGTGGGAATGGCGTTCCTCTCCTCATAGACAGAGTTTTTCTCAGGAGGTTAGGGAGGGCATACAAAGTATTAGAGAACATTTCATAATGGGGGATGGAAACCTTTGTAGTGATATGATTTTCATTATTTTATTATAACTTTCTTTTTATCCACTCCCTGACTATTACTCTTACCTCTGTTTGTTTTAATCTTTGCCATATCAAAGTAAGGTGATGCAACCTCAACTGTATTTTCAGTATTTGAGGCCCCGGTAATGAGGACAGGCTGTTTAAACATAAGGGCATAACAGAAAATGACAGAACACAGCTTTATAATTATCATAAAGTGCACATACACCCAACTAAGAAATGATACATTTAAACAGAAACCACACAATATAAAAAGAAAAAAAATGCCATGATGCTACTTTGTTTGCATTTTCTTCAGGTTCTTCAGCTGGGTTACAACAAGCTGGCAAACTTAACTGAAGGTATGATGAGAGGACTCGGCCGCATGCAATGCCTCTTTCTCCAACACAATCTAATTGAGGTTATTGCCACCAATGCATTCTGGGAGTGTCCCAGCCTCAGCAGCATTGACCTGTCATCCAACAAACTTGCCCGCATTGACCCTTCCACATTTGCAGTTCTATACCGGCTGATGGTGTGTGAACTGGCAGCAAATCCATTTCATTGTGGCTGTGATCTTTATAGCTTCCTAATGTGGTTGGAGTCCTTCAACAATGTCACACACACCTATGATCGCCTCCAGTGTGAGACACCCAGGGAGATGTTTGGTTTCCCCCTACTGAGTCCTATTGCTGCTGGCCATGCTGGTCGCAATGCCAAAAACATTCTGTACCATCACTGCCGAGATGGAGTGATGATTCCAGGAATGACCTCTCTCCCGCCAGACCTAGATGGTCCTTCTGGGATTGGACCAGAGATGTTTGGAGGTGTGGGGCCCTACCACCAGCCCACCACCTCTTCTTCATCTACTGAACACAGCTTCACTCCTAGCATCAAGCTCCATCATGTCTCTTTGTCGTCAGCCTCCCTCCTTGTGCAGATTCCAAGACCCTTCAGCAAAATGTATATTCTAACGCAATACAACAACACATTTGTGTCTGATGTCATGAGCTTGAAGAACAAGAAGGAGATGATCACTCTCAACAAGCTCAAGCCACATAACAATTACACGTTCTGTGTGGGATCCACCCGCAACTTTCAGCGTTATAACCACACTTGCATCCAGTTTTCCACTCGCGCTCAAAATAATGATGACATGCTCCCTACACCTTCTACCACTACTCACTACATAATGACCATTGTGGGTTGCCTTTTTGGCATGCTCATTGTTTTAGGCTTTGTCTATTATTGTCTACGTAAGAAACGGATGCATGATGAGAAGAAGAAGTCGGTTTGTGTCAAAAAGACTATACTGGAAATGCGCTATGGACCAGAGGTGGCGGCAGCAGTGGCAAATGATCCATCAGCAGTCCACAAACTTCAGGAGCAGTCCAGAGAACATCATCAGTATCAGCACCACCATGGAGGCAAACTCCCCATGTCAACATCCTCAAGCTCAGGAATGCTACATTCAGCTAACACCAGTTCCTCCAGACTTTCCTCTATCCCTCAAGTGGAAAAAATGGCCACTGCCTTTTCAGAGGCCATGGCTACAAATAAAGGAAACTATATGGATATCAGATGTGGAGGGGTAGGTATAGATAGGGTGGGAGATGGCAGGCTTGGAGGGATGAGGGGGGAAGACTTCAGGGATGATGATGGATCTGATGTTGGGGAAGACTCAGACGATGACGGTCATGGCTCTGCATCAGAGATCTCCACCATTGCCATGGAGGTGGACAAGGTTAACCAGATCATTAACAATTGCATTGATGCACTGAAACTGGATGCTGCAACAGTTTCTGCTTCAGGTGTATCTACTAACCCTACATCCTCCTCCAATCCCACCTCCCCTCCTCCCACCAGTGCATCTTCTATTAATCGTGGCCTAATCCCACTCTCCCAAGGGATGACAGAGACGTGCCAAGTCATTACTCCCAACAAAATACCTCCTCCACCTCCACTCCCTGGCTTGAATGCCCCTCTCTCTGAGCGTCCAGGGATCACTGGTGGTGGCTTTGTCATTACTCCGCCCTACAGGCCCCCTCCACCAGCCACTGCTGTGCGCCCCATTCAGCGGCAAATGAGTGCAGATGCAGCTGTGATTGTTGTAAATGCTGTCAAGAAACAGAGCAGCACCACCTCTTGTGGACCCATGGAATGGGACAGGGAACGTGGAGGAGCTAGGGTGTATAGCCTGGATATTCCTGAGCCAAGGAGCCCAGATGCCTGTAATCAACAACAGCAGCAGTACTCAGACCGGGCCAGTCCCATGAGCTGTGTGGAGCCCCTGGAGAGACTGCCTTTAGTGGGAAGCGGGAGCTGCGGCGGATTGCGACAGTGGTGGTGCTGGTGCACATCAGGACAGCCAGAACCCACACCATTACCATCAACAGCAGCAAATACAACAGCAGCAGCAGCAGCTAGAGGTGCAGCAGGACTACCACTGCTCGGAGCATCGCCACTCTGTCCCAGCTCTCTACTATGAAGGCTCCCGCCAGGGATCCCCAGCCCAGAGAGTTTCATTCCTAAAGCCCCTGACACGCTCCCGAAGGGATGCAGCATCTTACTCCCAGCTTTCGCCTGCCCGTCACCATTCCAGTTACTCTGGCTACTCCTCCAGTCCAGAGTACTGCTCAGAAAGCTCTCTGCGCATCTGGGAGCGCTTTCGTCCCTACCGGAAAGGCCAGCGGGATGAGGCCTGTTATGTGATGGCCGGAAATGCCCTTCGAAAAAAGGTGCAGTTTGCCAAAGGCGAGGACCTGCATGACATCCTTGATTATTGGAAGGGTGTGTCAGCACAGCAAAAATTGTGACTAGGGGACCAGAATTAAGCATTGTGGCTAAAAAGAGTTAGGATGCTTTCTTTCCTGAGAGGCCTGTGGGGACAGATCATCATTTAATCATTTAAAGTTAATGGGGAAAAATGTAGAACATTTTGCCTTTGAATTTTTTTTTTTTTTTTTTTTTTTTTTTTTTTTTTTTTTTTTTTTGGCTTTTTTGGGTTTTTAAATTTGTGCTAAGAGCAAGGACTTTAAAACTGTGCCTAGGATAAGCAAGTTATTAGTGTTTTTATTTTACACTTCATTGTAGCACCATTTGTAGATCTTTTTTTAATATTTTGTTTATGGCACAGGGAGCAAATACCAACTGTGTAATTTAGGACTCGTTGGATTTGTGATCCTATGGACTGTTTTTTTTTTTTTATCAGTGCCATGTTTTCATCTATGGGTAATCAGAGGGTAAATGTCATTTTAAGCTTGTGTGATCCAAGTTTGTTATTTTGTACTGGGTGCTGTATCAATTTGTTATGTGCACATGGACATGTTTATACTTCTAGGTGGAGGGAGACTATGCGGGATGGGATCTGTACTCTGTTCCAAGTGATGAGTGAACAGTGTTGTCAAATGCTTGGCCTATCTTCCATGAGCTCCTTCATTCAACTAAGGTATTTGCATTTCAGTATCATCTGTCACACAGAAAGAATGCTTCTCCTTTCTTGAAAGAAATAAACAAGTGAACCATGAGAAAATGGTTAAGTAGGCTTGAAGATACTGCAGCACAAAGAAATCATTAGAGAGAGCAACCTTAAAATAGTGCTGTGCACCCTGAG